TTTTATATACAGGATGAAGCTAAGGGCACTTTGGAAGCTAAGGGTGGAGGGGAAGCATAGGGGCATGGGAAAACAGAAGTAGAAAGTGATAGTTGTGTGATGTGGAACTTGGTCCTAGGGAAAGTGACAGTGCATGAAAGAGAACAAAGTTCCTAATGAGTAGATATTTTGATGATAGAAGGGAAGAAAGTGAGGTAAAAGATTTGATAGTGATGAAAAAGAAGGATGTGGTCAGCAGTAGTCACAAGCAGGAGATGAAAAGTAATCAAAAGTGGATCAGAAAGGTTTGAGAAGAACCATTACCCAAATAATGAAGATGAGGAGCTTGATCAAGGTAAAACTCCAAGGTAATGGCCAGTTGCAACTACAGGTTTGACAGTGTATTTTTTTTTTTTTTAGAACAGTTGCTTGAAAATTTGCTTCTCTTTTACAAAAAGGGATTTTCTTTCCTTCTATTTGAATGAATTGAGAAACTGATAATCATAAGAAAACCTTATTTCTTGAAATAATAATGTCTAGAAACCACAACTTATTTATGCTTCTTGCAGTTTCTATACAAGAAAAATGAAATCTGCCAAAAGTGTGGAGGCAAAGAACCAGGTAACATAATAACCATCTCCATGTATCTTTATTTCCTAGCATTAGATTTTTCACACTGGCACAAGAATCCAGAATTGTCATTTGATCTATAGAGGTCTATATTACTCTGATGTAGGTTGTTGCAATCTTTGTTGTTAAGGGTGCAATAATGGCCGAGCTGAAACAATGGAATGATTTGCATGGAGGAAGAGGTTCAAGAAGGAAGCAAAAACTGACCTACTTCCTTTAAATTGCTGAAAATAAACGTCACCTACACTCATCAACAAATTCACTACCAAAAGGATGTGAAAGTTTAGCCAAAATGACATAGCTCAATTGTTCCAAGCATATATTTCCTTGAATTAAGTAGAAAGCTCTGTACATGGGATCTCTAGCAAAAAATTATGGCATGGTTGTTATTAAGATAATCAACTGTACTTTTATGAAGTTTTTCTAAGAATTCAAATATGCATAAACATCATATTTATACTGAAAACAAAACACTGGATTCTCTCACCCTTACCCCCAAGACGCGGGTGGAGAAACAACTTGTTTACTTTAACAAATCCAAAAAAAGGATTAGAAATCTGATGCCTGGAATAAACAGAGTAGAGAAAAAAAAGGGAAATAAAGTAAAGAAGAGAATGATCTCCCATATATTACTCTAGTGTATATGATTACAGAGGGAGTTTAGGGAAATCACATAGAAACAGATAAAAAAGGATAACCAATTACATTGACAAGTTACAAATGGGAAGAAAGCAGAATCCGGTATATATTACTCTGGTGATGCTGTCAGTGTATAGGCATGTGGCGGGAAGCGGAGGCGGCTATCCCGCGATGGGCCCGGCAGCAGGATATTTCTGTTTCTACCTAATCTTGAAATTCAAAATCAGTGTACCTTGCGGCTGTCCATCCGGCAACTGGACCTCGCGAACGAAAAACTCCTCTTTGGAAGCAAGAAGTTCCTGGATAGAAACCACCACCTTCCCAATATCCTTATCGGGAAACAAATGACGACGACGATCTGACACGAGACGGATCACGAGGGCGGCGGCATCGTCCACGTTGAATGTCATGCTGCACTTCTTCCACACGGGGTTGGAACCACAGTGCTCGTCGACGCGGGTCTTCTGCTCGGTTTGGGCGTCGCCGTTGATGGTGACGACGGCGTAGACGCTCATCTTGTGGAGACGATTGACATTCCGGAGGCCGTTGGCGGAGATTAGATTGATATCTAGATGCCTGTGCTCCATGTCGACGAAAAGCTCCTTATTGAGAATTGAATTGGAAATGGTATGAGAGCTGAGTAACAGCGGGGTATATACAGGGAACAAGCAGCCACTGTATGGATCAAGAAAATAGCCTAGAAAAGGAAAAAAAAAAATACAAATTGAAGCAGAAACTAGAAACTTTAATAACCAAATTCAAAGAAAAAGGTTTTCAAACGAAAACAAAAGATCCAGATAAGTGAGACACAGATCCGATCTATTGAGATTTAAAACAAAACAAAACAAAACAAATTCCGGCCACAATATATCAAAATCTCCATTAACTAGCAAGATATCAGATTCGAAAACCAGAAACTGGATTCACTCAATAATGAAGCTCGGATTCTTAACAAAATGCTCGAATTTGAGGTTAAAAAGGCGAGATATCTCAATCTCCGACGGTAATAGCGACGAGAAATCGATAATCTAGAGCTGAATCTAACCTAAATCGCAGTTCATGAATCACAAAACAATGAAGGAAAATGCGAGAGCGAAGAATCGGAAGATTTGATCGGAAAAGAAGAAGTACCTGAGAATGCCACCGCCGCCTTCTTCTTCTTCTTGCCTTCTCCGGCTCTGTTTCTTCGGACGTTACTTGAGGGATAGCCGGCCGTCGCGTATTGAGAGGAGCTTTCAACAAATTTTCCTCTTTGTAGGTTAAGCAATCTGGAATGCAGACGTGGCAGTCGCTGAGTGGATTATCTGTGATGGTTCACCCGGGGAACTGTGATCAGTGGCATCATGAGCCGTCCGCTTGGGTGTACGGTGGAGATTTGTGGAAAATATGTAAAGGATAGAACTGGACCACGTGAGGGGAAGATTCCGTCGTATCTCTGACGGATTTTTTTTTTTTTTTTTTACGAAAACACTGCCGAACCGAAATAGTTAACTGAAGGATATTTTATTTTTATTTTATTGAAAATAAAGGATTTTAAATTTTAATGAATTAAAGTACGAGAGAGAATTATTTTTAATTTTGTAATATAAAATAAAAAATACTTTTTATTACTGTAGTAAATAAGTTTATAATTTTTATTATTAGTGTTAAAACCCATTTCAAATAAATTGATAGTTAAGGTACCAAGACTTCCTAACAGTTAAGGTACCAACACAATCTTTGTAGCGTCACGTTAAGGTTCTGAATAATAGTAGCATGTAACACGTGAATTAGTGCCAGCTAGCATAATAATTTAATGATATCTTACCTTTAAACTCACTGATTATGACTTCAGTGTCGGGTTGACTATTTTTCTGTTTGGATTGAATTCAGTATGCAGCGACAGAATATACGTTACTTCTATATAAAGACATCCGGATTCCGGATGCCGGCGGGATATCTCCATTATTATTGGCAAGTGGCAACGGAAATGATGTAGGTATATATTTTTTATTTGAGTTTTCTTAAATAATAACTCAAGTTTGAATATGACAAATAGATGTACATGTAAATATGGAAAGAATTTATCTTTCATGGGTTTGAATTAATTTGATTTTAAATTAATAAAAAATATTTTATAATTTAAATTAATTTAAATTATTAATTATTAATTGTTTTGTTAGTAGTTTAAAATTAATAGTTAATAATTTTATTTAATTTAATAAATAAAAATATTTAAATTAATAATAATAATTAATTATTAAATTAAATAAAATTATTAATTATTTATTTTAAACTGTTATATTAAATAACCTTATAAAATAAAACTCTCCTAACAACTTTCTCTCAATTTTGTCAGTGTCAATTTCTTACTTAAATATAAGAAAATAACAAATTAATAAAACTTTAATAAAATTTAAATAATTTTTAAATTTTTCATACAATACTTTTTTAATAAAAAACTTTCTATTAAAATTCTTCTTTAGCCAAGCAAACCCCTAGAAGACGTGCCAATAATATCGTCATACACAATGACAGATGTCACAAGTTACGTAACCTAGTTAACATTGTTAACATAATATATTGTCAATCGTAAAAGTTCTATATATGACGTAATTAGTGTCTTTAATGAAGATTAAAGAATGGCATTACAAGGCAATGAGTAATTTATTGTGGCTTCCGTTTCCCTTTATAGACCTCTTTTTCATGTGTATTTTACATTTCATATATAAATTGTAAAGTAAAAATATAATTAGATTTTTTTCCTTTTTGTTGTTTCTAGCAATTATTAATACAAATTTAGAAATGTCATGGCGTAGTTAGTGAAATCACCACACTTATAAATCGATAATCAAAGTTGAAGATGAAAAATAAAATAAAATTGATCCAAAATAAAATTAGGGTAACTTGAGCTTAATGTAATTATTGGACTTTAAAGGCTTGAATTTTTAAGGGATTGGACTAGGGTTATCAATCTTGATATGTACCGGATTTGGCATAAAATAGGTACAACATAGGGACTCATATTGTGCCAACAAATTTCTTAGGGCCAAAGCCCTTATTTGCATCCCCCATTTAATTATTTTTCGTGGTCAACACTTTTCAAAATTTTTCCTCCTTATTCACACCTTCAACTTTTCAAAATCCGTGAAAAACTTAATATTTTAACTCACCGTTACGACACCGTTAAAAAATGTATTACGTGACATCAAAAATTGATGTGGCACTATGTAACGTTAGTAATCCAATGTGAATCTTTTTTTTTTTTTTTATGATGTGATTTATTTTTCGCACACATGGATGCCCCGTGTACGCCACGTGTACAGTGAGAGCAACAAAAAATTATAATATTACCAAACAGTAACATAAATGGCATTTCTTCATTTTTTTCTTTCCCCCCTCATCCTCGGCATCATCTTCACCATCCTCCATCTCAATGGGTTCCTCACGGGGAACCCAGATCTGGGTTCCTGAACCTAGTTTCTGGGTTCCTGCGAGGAACCCAATTCTAGGTTCCTGCGTGGAACCCAAATCTGGGTTCCGGGCCCAGTTTCTGGGTTTCGACCATTTTTTTTTCATTTTTTTATTTTGAATGTATTTATCTTAGTTTCCTATTTTATGCAAAGCAATTTGGAATAAGTTTTTTGTTGGAAAGGTGAGTTTTTTTGCTTGGAGATTGTTTACGAACAGGTTGCCAATTTGAGTTTTTTGAGTTTTTTGTGGGAAAGGAGTAGAAGATGCTTATCATGTTTTTGTGTAGTATTCATTTACTTATAATTGTGTGGATGAAAATCTTAGCTTGGTAGGCATTCATGTGAAATTAGGTTTCACGAAGAACTTAGGACTTGGGTTTTGCGAGGAACCTAGGAGGATGAGGATGGTGAAGATGATGCCGGGAAAGAAGAAAATGAAGAAATTAAAATTAATTATGATTTAATTATAACACATTATAAAAAAAAAAGTCCAACATTGGATTAATAAATGTGACATAAAGTCCTGGGTTCCTGGTTCCATGAGGAATCCAGGAGGATGAAGAGGAAGATGGTAAAGATGGTGCGGGAAAGAAGAAAATGAAGAAATTAAAATTAATTATGGTTTAATTATGTCATATCATCAAAAAAAAAAGGTCCACATTGGATTAATAGGATGACATAACGATCATGTTACTGTTTGATGCCACGTATTACAATTTTTAACGGTTATTAACAGTGCCGTGACGATGGGTTAAAATATTAGGTTTTTCACGGGTTTTGAAAAGTTGAGGGTGTGAATAAAGAGAAAAAATTTTGGAAGGTGTTGACCACGGAAAAAAATTAAATTGAGAGTGCAAATAGGGGCTTTGGCCATTTCTTAGCTACATCGGTCAAAATTCAACATATTGGGCAATGTTTTATCTATCGACTAATATTGTTGATTTTGACTAATATAATTGTAAACAATAAATAACTAAAACAATTTAAAAGTGTTTAAATGATGTCATTTTAGGCATTTGGGGCCAAAATTAGAAACAAAATGTCAAAACCCTCAAAACATCTCATAGACCCTTCCTCATCCTTGGCTCCTTGCCTACCCACTCACCTTTTGTAGATTGGTTCCTCAGATCTTAGCTCATTCCAAGCAAATTGATACATAGCCCTAAGATGCACAAAAACAGGCACCTAATATATATATATATGTGTGTGTGTGTGTTTGATTACTTGTATATTATCTATTTATTCATAAATTTTTTTAATTTTTAAATCAGTAAATCTACCTAGAATTTGAAAGTACAAGCGCTGCTTGTAATTTATATAGCTTGAATCTATAGCTAATCAGTTCGAAATCTATTTTCATTTTCTCCATCTCATCCACGTACTGTTTGCCTTTGTCCAATTATGGCTTGTTTTTTTTTCTTTTTTTTTTTTGGCTAGTTGTTGCTATTTTTTGAATTCATCTGGTTTGAAACTTTGAATGCTTATACTTGTTTTTATTCTTTTTTTGCAAATCACTATTCTTTTCTTGCTATTTCAGTATTTCTTGCAATTTTTTTTCATCAATATATTTTTTGCCGAAGCATTATGATTTTTGTCTTCTCTGT